GATTTGGATTAGAAACTCAATTGAAAGAGAAAATAGGAGGTTACCTCAGACGACAGTGGAAGAAAAAAACAACAACACAAAGTTGCAGACGGCCCTCAAAATGTCCGGGCATAGCGTAGCAGACGGACCAGCAACAGTAAGTGATGAAGCGAAGGAAAGAGGGTAAAAACTAATTAAGCCAAACAAGGCAAAGCAAAATATGCAATGTTTGAACGTCAAATAAACAAAAAAGAAAAAATGGGAAGACGTTTACAAACCCCTGTAACGCCCAATTAGAGCGCAGCTCTCGAAGAGGAGGAGGGGAAGGTATGGAGAGGAGGGTATGCCCCTCCTCCTCATCCATACCCTCGCCTCCCATTTAGCGGGAAATTTTTGCTAAATTCAGCGGGGAAATTTTTCTGCTAAACTTAGCAGGAACATTTTTTTCGCTAAATTTAGCGGAGAAAATTTTCCGCTAAATTTAGCCGGAAGTTTTTCCTGCTAAATTTAGCGGGGAACATTTTCCGCTATATTTAGCGGAGATTTTTTTTCCAATAAATTTAGCGGGGAAATTTTCCCACTAACTTTAGCGGAGAAAATTTTCCGCTAAATTTAGCTGGGAATGTTTTCCTCTAAATTTAGCGGGAAAATTTTCTTGTTCAATTTAGTGGGGAAAATTTTCCGCTAAATTTAGTGGGGAAATTTTTTCGCTAAATTTGGCAGGGAAATTTACCCAAATGCAACGCACGGTGACATCACTCGTGACGTTATCATGGGAAACGTCCCAAGATGCACCGCGTGGTTACGCCGGCGGCGACGCCGCTCGAGCCGGAAACGGTCGCCTAAGAGCTGCGCTCTAAAAACAAAACAAAACATAATGGCAGGAGAAAGAAAGAACGCAACGTAGTGTCACCTCAAACATAAAAAATAAAAAAAAAGAAGTGACTTAATGGAAGGAGTTGCAAGACAGCGCAACAGGTGTCAGCCTTTTATCGTAGAAGACATTAGTCATCCCGGTGCTAACAATTGGAATTTGTGCACTGTATATAGCGTGACCGAAATCACGTTCATTTGCACTACAACAATCTCCTATTTTTTTCATTTGTACACGTGAGAAGTCTGCTTTTTTTGTAGCTCCGCTTTTATTAATTTCAGTAATAGCGTCAGATTTGCATGAGCACAATCGACTTATTCCAGAGCATACTGACATCACAGTAACGTACGTGGTTCGAAATTGTCTTTTGCTTCTTCATCTAAAGACAATCTTAATGGGATTAGCCAGCTTGCCTATTCAACAAAACGGTTATAAGCAAGACATTCATGAGGAGGGGGGGGGGGGGGGGGTTTACGTACCAAACCTACGACGGGCATCTGGCAGCACATTCATGAGGAATTGGAATTGCAACAACAAAACAAATTAATTGATAAGAGCAGTAAAGTTGAAACATTGGACATGGTGGGTGTAATAGCTTCACAAAACGAGGATGATATAAGGAACAGACACGGCAGACAACAGCTGTGCTCGCAACTTTCCTTTTCAACAAAACCTTTCAGTTGCGAGTACAGCTGTTGTCGTGTCGTATCTGTTCCTTTTATCGTCCTCATTTTTTGAAGCTGCTACACCCACCATGTCTAACTTTTACCAACTTGCCCAGTTCAACACCTTGAAACATTGCCATGTTCTAAAATTTTTGTACATTGCCCTTTTTAAAAAAAACAGCACGAAGGTATATTCGTGTTTTGTCTGGCTTACATAAGTTGCGACAGGGTGTTTTCTTCAGGAGAGTCCCAAAATTGCAACTTGAAAGCTCTAACGTCTTTCCCATGCGAAGAAAATGTCCTTCACTCATGTGGTGGCTCCTCTTTTTTAACATTCAAAGCAGCGAATACCTGTGACAATGTTTTTTTTTTCATTAGTCACCTTGTACGGAGATAGGCAAAATCAATGCGTTGTGGAGAATTCATCTGCTAGTGAAGACTCCAAGCTCGCCAGGAGCGCTGCAATCACTTTTCACCCACGCTCTGCGGGAGTTGTTTAGATGGTATTTGGTCAAACTGGCTGCTCAAAGCCGTATATAGAGAGGGTTTGGCCATTCATTAGGAAGTATAGAAGGCAAATAAGGAGGCGCCATTGGCTGAAAACGGGCTGGGCGATTTCCAGGGCATCTTCACAATTTCAAATGTAACCAACCAGAAGCCGGAAATACCCTGGCGATGGTCGCGAGAAACTATATTAATTAGTACATCTGAGTAACTCTCAATGACTGAAAATATGGTGCACGTGATATTTCAATCACGGTCATCCCAAATCATAGTGGAAGAGTGCGACTAGCGGAAGGATCGACATAATCCATAGCCAGGCGCCGAGGGCTGGGAATCTACCGTCCGAGCGGTGACACTTTGTCCGAGCAAAACCGAGTTCCAGCAGCATTCGTTTCTTACATCTTTTTGCATGATCATAATCGAAACATCACGTGCACCATATTTCCAACCATGAAGAGTTACTACATTTAACCCCTATGCTCTTATTAAAACTGTTTCTCGCTACCACCGCTACTGGATTCTTTTCCGCTTCTGGTTGGCCAAGAGAGCATGCCAAGCCCCCTATTTGCATCTGGTGCACGCCCTGGCTCTGCTCGCTCCTCCCATTGGCCAACCTCTCTCTATACACGGCTCTTTGACTGGTGAGGTCGGCCTATTCCATATAAAGTGAGAACCGTGTGCATGCGGTAGTTGGCTGCTGTCATGCTATTGCCTATCTTCAATCGCAATATTCTTGGTTTCAATTTCTTTGAATTCTAGTGGGGATGAGTTTTGCTCCATCCTATCATCAGGACATTACACGATTCTCACAGGAGACGACGGACGACAAAGAGGACAAGGACAAACACACGTCGAGACTACACTCCGTCTCATCCAACGATGGCCCAATGCTACAGGCCACTGGGTCCAATCACGAGCCTGTTAGAAACCACGTGGTATATTGCTCCGTCGTACGTATCAGTATGCCAAGACGCTTCATGCGGAGTCAAGTTTATCGTCTGCTTATCGAGCCCTCGCGGTGGCTCCGTCTGCTTGCTACTACTGAATGCTACTGAAGGGATCAAATACGGTCTGGAAGCGATGGGGCAAAGAGAACCCGGGATCAGAACCAGTGGCCATTAGAAAATGAAGACGAGTCGGATAGAGTGTTTGACATGGGAGCGTATGTGTGGACTGCGTGCGAAAGAGAGATGCAGGTCCGGGTATGTTTTACATACCGAACTTATGCCTCCTTTAGACATGCCTTCACCGACGGATCTACAATGTCAGCATCATCAACCTTGGGAGCTTATATTCTGTCTCTGGACGCATGCATACAAGAAAGGTTGACTTACGTTACGTCGTCAAGAGCGTCGGAACTCGGAGCAACTCGAGCAGCTGTTGCACACGTGGGAGCCGAGAGTCCTAGTTTTTGGGCTATCTTTGTGGACTCCAAAATTGCTCTACACACCCTCTCTACGATGAAGAAATGTATCCCGAACGTGCAACTCGCACAGGATAAGCAGCTCGCCAAGCTTCATGCAAAGGGCACCAGTTTATTATACAGTGGATTCCTGGTCACTCTGGTATAACCGGAAATGTTATCGCTGACAAAGCCGCTCGAAACGGTCATGAGAGCGCTATTCCTGTGTCATTTCCATTATCTAAATCAGATGCAAATAACTTAATTAGAGATATTGGTTAAGAAATAGCATCAATTCCCTTTGGAGCAATCCTCGATATCATTATTCCTATCTTTACAGTATCGATCCCAAACTTAGATTTCGGGCACCACGAGGACTACCAAGGGCAGCCGAGACGGTCCTACATCGCTTGAGACTGAATGTGGCATACACCACAGCTACCTTCATAAAATCGGTAGAGCTGAGTCGTCTGATTGTGCTTCGTGCGGAGTCACACATAACATTGAACATGTATTGTGTGAATGCAAGGACTACAGCCGTGAAAGGGAGCTTATGAAGACAGACCTGAGGCTACAAAATGAACAAGACGTAAGCATTCATACTCTGTTTGGTCCACGGATTTCTGCTGCTGAGGGGTATAAAGCTACGAAAGCTCTGCTGAAATTTCTGACAGCTACTCGCTTACAGAAGAAACTGTAGGGGAGTAGATGAACAGCAATGGCCAATGACAATTTACAGTGAAACATTTTCGTTAGCTTTTTTTTTACTAGTTTTTAATACTTTGTGTGTTGTCTCCCTCTATCTTTTTCTGTTTACCTTTCTCTCTTCTATTTTTATGATTTTCGCTTCCATTCATTTCACAATGTAGCAAACCAGCACCAGGCACTGGTTGACATCACTGTTTATAAACGCCTACCTCCCTCTCTCTCTCAAAGTTGGATTGGATTGGATTCTTATGGCTAAGGCAACTTTTCCAAACGTTTGACATGTTTATGAAATATGGCAAGAATGTTTATGAAACTAAATACCATGAACCTGTACTTCACCAATACAAAATAGCGCGCTATCATTGCAGAGAACCATATGCGTTAGATTAGTGCTCTTCACACTCTGCATACCGGAATTTCTCTGGCGCACTCTTTCGCAATATGGATGCAAGCTTTTCTGAGGCAGTGCTCCGCCCGCCAGCCTTTGGGCCCTAGTCCATCGTAGGGCGAGACAGAGTATAGGGATGCCGCAAACCTCCCGAAGTTTGAGTTCGAGAGGTTACAAAATTTCGAACCTTGCTAAGGTTTGAATTTGAAAAGTTCGCAACTTTAGAACCCCGCTGAGGTTCGAAATGGAATAATTAAAAAATGCTAAGATTTCTGAAAGTTTGAGTTAAAATTTTTTTGACAGATCGTTTGAAAAATTTGAACATCTAGAATTTCTTTAAGATTCAAGTTCGGAAAATTCGAACATTTCGATTTTTTCGAGGTACAGAGCGCGACACTGTTAGCGCGAACAAGCGATCGCCGGTTTTTCCAGTTTTTCTCTTTGAAACCAGGGGATGTCATCCAAGTGATTATTGCTACGGAAAGATCTCATTTAGTTCTATTATGTAAGCAATAAAAGTTTGTGCTCGCTAATACTATTGAGAAGTAAAAGGCGAAAATGCACCGATGTCCTGTTCGCGCTAACAGTGTCGTGATGTGTACAAGGTTGAAAGTTCTGTTTTAAGTTTGAAGTGTGAATTTCATGGACGGAGATCAAATTCCGCAAATTCAAACTAAGTTTCCATGAATTATATAAAAATTGCAACTGTGCTACGAATTTTACTGAAAATGTTGCCCATTTCTTTTATGCGGTGAATATTCGTAACTCCAGCCCATCGCTCACCCTCTTGCGGACGAAGAAAGAACCAGAGGAGTAAGGACAACGGCAGAGACGGTGGCAGGGACTGTCGGCCTTGGCGCTGTTGTTCTGGAGGGAGTGTTTGTGCATCATGCAATTTTTATTTATTTATTTATTTATACTGTTGCCCTTCTGGATGTTACAGAGCTTGGTTTTCGATAAGTATACACGAAAAAGCCAAGTGCGTTGAAATAAGAATATTTGTGGTCCACTTCGCAACAGCGTTGCACGAAGGACTCGTAAGTCTCATTTCATGAAACTTCGAGTCTTGCTTACACCATCACAATCTGTGCTCAATGTGACGGCAAAATTTAAGCTCCCGCTAGTAGTGCAAAGCTCTTGGGTACGATTTACGCATAGTCTTTTCTTTCCAGAAAGTAGGCAAGAGCGACATATGGAATGGGTTCGCATTTTATGCACTGAAAGGCCGTGACAAGGAACACAACAGTTTGCTCCAAGCACTAGTGTAAAAGGCAGACTATGCATACCTGCTTTCAGTGAATTACAAAAATAAATAAGGAAATGCTCGAAGAAATTTTCGGCCGATCGTGAGGCAAGCTTAGAACAGGCAGTTTTGGCGAGGCGAGTCGCGTCGGTGCAAATAACGGTACGCAGGTGAAGAAAACTGTATATTTGAATATTTACTTTAACAGAGCAATAAATAAAAACCATAAACGTGCCGATTGCATTATTATGCAGTTCTTGTACAGCGTTATCGCAGGCTACTGTAGGCACGGCAATGCTAATGCTTCAAAGCTGCAGCACGAACTTCTGGTCGCAATGCCCGACCGTGCGGTAGCCTGAAGTTACGCTATTCTAAAACTACCTCTTAGCAACCATGGCGCAGGATGATCACGTGTTGCAATGCACTAAAATTGTGACGGTAAGCCTCTGACACAGAGATATCAGTACTTTGAGCGCAGTTCCAGAGGAGCTTGAGTCACCCTGCGCGGCTCACATTTTAGAGTACTGGCGGCCAGGCACAGCGCAAACACCACAATATTTTCACCACCCACAAAAATATTCTACCACACACATTGACGTGACCGGCGCCAAAAATACGCTCTCCCTAGATCAGAAGTTCTGTGATGTTTCCGCAACTTCTAAGAAAACGTGCTCATTTTCCTAACGAATGTCAACATCTCCGTCACCTGTGATACGCTCCTGCCCTGACCGTTTAGCATTTGAAGCCAAATAAATCAATTTAAGCACACTGACCAGCATCAGCAAGCAGGCGCATGAAGAATCTATCCCCGTCTCTTCCGCCATCTTGGAACTTCCGCCCCACCATCTATAGGGCGTTGGAGTTGCGAATACTCCTTCCTTCTCCGTGCTGTGGTAGTGACGGTACTACATGTACTACTCATTATTTGTTGTAACTTATGAAACAAGCGTTGAACTGGTTGAGCGGTTCATCAAAAAGCCCCGAGTCTGTTAGGTGAACATACGTTCTACTTATTTGCAAACTAGCAGCAATCAGATCAAATGTCACATAAATGGGATGCTGGTATAAGGTAGCTAAATAGTAAAGTAAAACCCTTTATTTTTGCGGCCCCGATTTTTCGCCAATTGAGCAGCGGGGGTCATATTCGCAACCATTAAATTTCACGAATTCTAAAGGCTGGAATTCGCTTCTACAGACTATAGAAATATTTGCGTTCCCTAAAGTATGCGAATTTCAAAATGTTTTGTATACAGGACAACGCTTGAATATAAAGGCATTCATTCAGGCTTCCCGAAAATATTTAGTTGCTCTGGGCGTTTGTTTTCGGCGGGATGACCCATGGGATGGGGAAAACACTGAACACAGGCACAGCACCCGACAAAAGTCAAGTTTGAGGAGAATGCAACCAGACTAAATTAGGGGACCACCCGGCCCCTAGAATACAGCTGACCAGGTCACGACCGGTTGTTATCGGGCTAACCATATTGCTGTTGCTTGGAACTTCTATGAATATAGATTGGCCACTCTAAAATGCAGCCGTTTACTAAAAACGATGAAGTAAGTGCCAATTCAGCGTTTGTTGTAGCGCATCGGTGTCGCGCTCCGTGCACGCCTTTCCTTGACTCAAGAAAATCGGGGAACTTGTTTTCAAAAACAACTAATGCTATGAAGGACGCTCACAGCGAAGTGCCTCGGTTGAATTTCAAGCATGCAGATCAGGACAGATTGTTGAGCGAGTTGCTACTGGGTATTAAAAAAACATAGTAGCGCTTCAGACGAGGACAAAGTAGGAGACTGGACAACACAGAGCACTGACCTAAACAGCTGAAGTCGCCATTTTGTGTTGTTCATTCTCCTACTTTGTCCTCGTCAGAAGCGCTACTATGTTTTTGCATATGTAGATCAGTGATCTGTTGGCCCGCATGTTACCTCGGGGAAACCTACGGAGTTGTGCGCGGGAAAGGATCCGTGCAGAAGTCGAAAGAAAAAGGTGCGAGCTCGTCAAGGCCACCCCAAAGTTATCATTCAGCGCTTTACAAGCAAGTCGTTTGTGGCACGACCAGGTAAGCAAGACTCCAGTGCAATTTCAACTCTATTTCACACATTGACACCTTATGTTATTTATATTTGTTGCCTTGAACCTATGGGGGTGAACTTGGTCCGAACTTCGTCTAACTTTTTTGTTTAGAAGTTTGAAGCTCGTCCAACTTTTGAACGTAATTAACAGGTTCGAAAGTTTGAAAATCGTTGAATTTCTTAGCGTGAGAAGTTCGAAATTGTTGAATTGTATAGCGCCAAAAATCAGAAGTTTGAAAACAATTGAATTTCTCAGCAAAAAAAGTTTGTAAGTTCGAAAATCGTAGAATTTCTGATGTAATAAGTTTGACGTTTCGAAACTTCATGAACCTTTCGAACCCCTTGGTTCGACCTTCGAGCCTCGGGTTCGCTAAAAGTTTGCAGCATCCCTAGTTGAGACGTGTGTGTTTGTCCCTTGCCCCCTTGTCGTTCGTCGTCTCCGGTTAGAATCATGTGTAACGTTAACCAGCTCGCTCTTTTTATTAACATTGTCTTTTAGCAACAGGACATGTTTTTTTCTAGTGCCGCAAGTCCAATGGAGATGAAGATGTCATGTTTTGTGCTCCCCACTATTTGTTTATTCTTTTGTGTTTAAAATTATCCTTACCAACACGCTCTGTTTTTAATTAATCGAAGCATAAGCTCCTGCATGCGGTTCTGTAAAGTGTGCACCTTATCAGTGAGATGTGGTTCACTCGTCCTAATTTCGCCTTCTAAGCATTTAAACCTCTCATTGATGCGCTAGTATGCTGCATCAATATATCTATCTCTTTGATATAAAGTGGCGAGTCTCTCCTTGCGACGGAGAGAGCACTAGGCGGTTCCTTTTTCGAGCTCAAAATCCTCAACTTTCAAGTTGACATCAGACTCGACGGGTCGACGCTTCCACCGCGACACATACTCCGCACTGACCTTGAAGAGGCTTGGATCGACTTTCGCCTCGTCCTGACTGCAACGGGGTGCTCGTACTCTTTCCTAACGAAGTGTCGAAGGAGTACGAGGACACCACGGGAGTGAGACGCTCTGGGCTCTTTCCTGGAGATTCCCACTTGAGGAAAGGATATGATGGCCCTTCTTTTATGGCAATCAAGCTCGTGTCCAGACTCCGCTTATCTCCCAAAGTAGTTTTGGTTACATCCGGACCGAGACACGGCAGCTGCCGATCACCCTTGTGCCCGACATGTTCGTCTTCTTCGTCCGAGTCCTCCTAAATAGGAAAACACGAGCACAAACATAATACAATAAATGACGGCATAATTGTAGGCTTTGCATTTCATTTTCAGAGGCGCTAGTTTCTCTGGATACTAATAGCAAACATGTTTTGAAATAAGGATACGGGATTCAAGAAACGCTTATTTACCACCACGATGCAATTCATTTGTGCATTCAATTTACGGAAATCAGTTTCTCTATTTACAAGACTGGTTTTGTTGCACTCACAACTTCGAAGCTGGAGATTTGCAGAGTTTGGGGTGCAGTACAGTCCCCAGGGTTGTTCCTCCACTGCAACACCCCTGAAAATACAAAAGTCGAACCCAAATGTCATTGAAGGCATACGGAGAATTAAAACAGAGCCTGTCAGTCTCTTAATTACAGAAGACTCCCTCACACCAGACACAGAAGTCACTGATGGGAGCCACTGCAACATAGCTGAGCGAACATGACAGCCCAGCTTACCGCTTATTGCACGCACAAGTCGAAAAAAACGCGGGAATCCGCTACAAACTCTCACATCATGGGACCAAATACCGCAGATCGCGGATGCAGCAGATTCGTATTTCATGGTGGAATATACATGCGGGAACAACTTGCGTATTACGGGAGCAGTTATCGCGAGCGCAGATTGCGGACAAAAATGCGGGAACCTGCTATGAACTCGCTTATCAGATGTACCGGTACAGCAGATCGCAATGCGGATGTAATTTCTGTCGGACATCGCGTGACGTCCGACAGGAATTGGGGGGTGGGCGATGTGTCGGAATTTTTATGTTAGATATTTAGCCAGAAAAACGGGATGGGCGATATCTCAAGGGCGAGCATTCTCTCGGAACTTTAGGGTACACGTGCACAATATTCAGAAAAAGATTATACCTTGTAATTCAGGGACACTGACTGAGCTGAAGAGAGTCGTAATCCCATATTTGAAAATGTTGATTGGAGTTGCCCTTTAAATAAAAGTGCTAAGAATGCAAACATTGCCTCCTTGATGTTTCTTGACCGGTGCAAACGAACAGCAAAGGTTCCGACACACTGAGCAAATAATTATCATATTTCGGTCTGCGACAGCAAATGTCGTGCAATTTTAGAGCTATAGCTGATGTGGACTCATCATACCACTGCAAATGACGTCAGTTGTCATTGTAGGGTGTACGGTATCTATCGTCGATTGCCAACTGCTTGAAAAAATTGCCCACCGCCACAATGCTGTCAGGATTCGATCCCGGGTCCACTGCATGTGAAGCGGGAGCATTACCACAGAGCTACGCCAGCCTTGATAATCCACTTTAGATGATAGGATGTTTGAGGAACACGCATGCACATACGTGTATTGTGCAGTGCCCACTAGGCCACAGTTGCTGCGACGTCACAATAGAAAATTCTTTGTCATTCTTAATTAATTCCAAATTTATTCCGAGTCAATTGTTGAAATTAAAAATTTTGGCTAGGTAATACTAGCCATTGCCCGATTAAAAGGGTTCAGCCATATCCATCGTCCAATACCACCCTAGAAAACGGGCCTGCATGTTACGTCATCGCTAGTGGATCCCAACGTTGATTAGCTCAGTTGTGAAACTGCCCGTAGATGCTGTCTTCATGAGCGGTACCCCCCCACGGTCCGCCTTCCATCGTTCAAAGCGCCACTGTTTTGAGGATGGCTGCCATGGTAACTGCAGTGTGTGCTATAGAATATATGTGTTTCTAAGCACAGCGTCTTGATGGCGTTTCACTATACTCCATGGAACACAGTTTTGAAATGAAAATCTAGATGGCACTTCAATTGACGGGAGGTTAGAGCCGTGTATAGAGAGAGTCTGGTCAATGGGAGGAGCCGGCGGGAGCCAGGGTGGAGCGGCGAAAGCGCCGCTGCCGCCAGCGCTGCATATTCCCCTCGTGATGAACTTGCGAAGTAAGAATGAGCTGGAATGACCTTGAAGGATTCACGTAGCGCGGTGCAGGTATTTTTTGTTTCTTGATGGGGCTGAAAGTACATGGATGTACAATTGTAATAGATTGGTGGAAAAGGGAAGTTTCAAGGTGCTGATGCGTTTACTGAGCCAGGAAAGGTGCCATTGACGGTAAATTTTTTCTGGAACATCAGGTGAAACTGCAAATGTGGGGTGCGCGTTTGGGGATTGGGTCAAAACTACCATAGCGGTGTCCGCGGTTTTAACCGTTTACTGGGTCATTGCCGCGGCTGCGACTGCAATCAAAAAAGAGATTCTGAATGTTGCTGTGACGTCATCGTCACATGCGTTGCCCTTTCAATTACGAAGAGTAATAAATTTTAACTCTAGCGTGCTGAAATAAAGTACCTAAATGCATCCTCACCTAGAAATTGTGATTGGAGGGTATTTGCTAAGCTCATTGCCTCTGCAAGGGGAATATTTGTGGCTATTGATTGGTCACAAGAGCTGTCAATCATTGAAACAATTTCGGTCAATGATGTGGCCTTATTTTTGCCCTATTCCCAATTAATGACGAAACTCTCTACATATATGGCTCGGGGGAGGCAGACCAGAGGGGGTTGCTCCCCTCCACGGAAGTTCCACAACTGACCTAATCTAGTAACGTTGGTGGATCCCTGAGGTGCCCCAAGTGGCAAGCGCACTGAAGCTTGACAAGTGTGCGGCGCAAAGCAGCAGACACAGGCGTCTTGCTGTCGCCACATGCTCGTTGCGCTTGTTGTGAGACGCTGAAAGACACGCTGATGGTGACGCTGACGCGCCTCGCTGTTCGTTGCAGGCAAGACAGTGAGGTGCATGCTCTTGAGAACGAAGCCAAGAAACTTTGCCATCAAGACCCCACGGTGCATGAACGCGACACCAATCCCCAACAACTTTGCCGCATGTCGCAACCACTGCTGTGATTGTACACTGGACTCACCCACTCGCTTCCAAAGCCAGCGATTTGTCGGCCACCGCGGCAAAGGCCAAAGTGCACAAAGCCAGTGATTTGCCCGTCCTCGTTGAAATGTTTGTTTTCAAAATATGACAGTAGATGGCGACACTGTTACACTACTATATTTTTATGCAAATTATAAGTGAAAAAAAAAAATTGTGGTTCTTGGTTTTTAAACAAGAACATATGCGTCCCGGAAGAGTTAAAGGGACACTGACAGGGTATTTATATATGCCGAGGTTTTCATTTGAACATGACCTATAAGAGCTCAACTACCCAAAACACGATTTGCGGCTAGAAATTAGTTTTCTTTCCACCCGAAAACAGACGATCGAGAATTGGCCGGTTTCAGTCGCGCTCACTCTCTTTTCCATGGTCACGTGGCATTCAAACTATGTGTACCAAATATATTTAAAGTCGTGGGTCACCTAAGGCACACATATCAATATTAAATATAAAAAAAGAATACAAACCATATTTTTGTGGCTTCCAAAAAGCTGCAAAGAAGTTAATAAAAAAAAATAAAAGACGTTTACAACTCACTGTAATGCCATATTAGAGCACAGCTCGTGAGGAGGAAGAGGAGGGGAGGGTACGGTATGCCCCTCCTCCTCATCCGTATCCTCTCCTACTCCCTCCTCATCTACTCATGCCGTGCTCATCTCCTCCTCCTCCATCCTCCCCCTTACTCCTCCTCCCTCCCGCACGGTGCACAATGGGAAACATCCCATAATGCAACGCGCGCGTCACCGCGGTGCATTATGGAATGCTTCCCATAATACCCCGCGCGGATACGGCCACGCCCTTTTGCCAGCCTGATTGCTCATGGGGTTGTTCATGATAATTTGAAGGTGTTGATTCATGCGTTTTTGGTCTTTTATTCGTAACATTGCTATTGGATGTCGCAGAAGAGCAAACGCTGAAGCTGTAGGCACCAGAGGTCGGCATTTTAGGTCTCACTCACCCTCACCCTCACAACCACACTGACCTAATCTCCTCATTCACCCTCACCCTCACAGTTACACTCACCTTCAGCCCCTCACTCACCTTCATCCTCACAGTCAAACTCACCTTCAGCCCCTTCACTCACATTCACTGAACCTCATGTCCTCATGGCCCTCATGCCCCTCACCGCCCTCACGCACTCATGGCCCTCACACCACTCACTGCCCTCACTCACTCATACCCCTCACGCTCTTCACGCACTCATGGCCCTCATGCCACTCACCGCCCTTACGCCCCTCACTCACACATGGCCCTCACGCACTCATACCCCTCACGGCCCTCACGCACACATGGCCCTCACGCCACTCACTGCCCTCACGCCACTCACTGCCCTCACTCACTTATACCCCTCACGCTCTTCACGCACTCATGGCCCTCACGCCCTTCACATACTCACCGCCCTCATAGCCCTCATGCACTCATACCCCTCACGGCCCTCACGCACTCATGGCCCTCACGCCACTCGGGCCCGCTTCAGATGGGACAGTTTCGCCAGAAGCTTGACGTCGCAATACCAGCAACACGGACCGCCCGTGTTCACACGCAGCAACCAATTTTTGCAATTTGCCATCATCATCATGAAATTTTATTTTTCTTGCACTGACTTCTGACTTCTCGGCGCCGCCTGAACCACCAGTTTCGAATGCTCTACAGCAGTTTGCTTCTTTCCAGTATATGCCAAATGATAAAGAAGTCCTGTGTGATGAATATAGCTGTTTACAACAGTGATATACACTGCGAAGAAACCAATCGGCAAGATTTCAAGCCAGTTAAAAGGGCTAGAAATTCGAACTTGTCGAGTAGACCCTCCAAAGGGCAATCCTTCCTGCTCAAAGACTAGGTATATTTACGACCGCGGGTATGCTGTCGACATGGTTTGAGAGCCATGTCGACAGCATACCAGAACAGCTAAGTTTAAGGTACAGGAGCGAGTGCCACTAGAGTGTGAGGAATTAGTGATCAATATTCGCATGTTTCTGTACTTTAAAGGGAAGCTGAAGTGGTTTTTAATATGAGAAAAAACACCCGAGCCTATTTAATTAGACTTCAGCCATCATAATCATATTCGTTTGGTCAATTTATGCGAGGATTAACCGGAAAAGCGCCTTCAAAGTAGCGCTGAAGCCACGCCTTTCCAAAGCAGAGAGAAAGGGGAAAAAGGAGGAGCCCGTCGGCCGACGTCACAAAAGGTTTGGCTGGGGGACCCCGCTGCGGCTGGCCACGGCAGTCGGGAATGACTTTCGCGGTGCCACTTGTTTTAGCATAGATTTTTTTTTTTTACAGTTGCTGATACTATTTGAGGTCAAATATTTTTTAAACGTAAACATAAATTTTGTTAAATTTTCCTTCTGTAGGTGTGTATTCTCTTCAGGAGCGCTTTTTGGAGATA